GAGTGCAAAATCGCCAATCAAAGAGTTGGCCGGATCTTGATTGATACCGGGAGCTCATCCGACCTCATAAGCTACCGGTGCTTGGAAAAGCTCAAGTACAAGCCCAGTAGCATGCATCCGGCCTCATACCCTCTTGTAGGTTTTGGGGGAGGAGTAGTACATCCGGTGGGCATGATTGATCTACCCATCCGGTTCGGAGAAAAGGGAAAGGGCCGGCATATGGTTTTCAAGTTTCTTGTTGTAGGAGAGCTGACTGCCTACAACTTGATTATTGGCCGCCCAACCCTTAACATCTCAAAAGCAGTCATCATCCCATCCCTAATGTTGATCAAGTTTGAGAGGGATGATGGCACAGTCGGTTCCTTGAGTGGGGACCAAAAGATGGCGAGAGAGTGTTACCTCTCGGACATCATACCAACGCTTGACACAGACGGTCAAGAGAAAGAAATAGTTGAACTTGACGACTGTGATCAAAAGCTTACGGGCTACTAATCCAGCCGGTGAAAAGAGGAAGGCGGACCAACTGGCGCCTGTGAAGGAGAAACAATAGCAATCACTGTCAGGGGAGAGGCCAGACGTCCTTCGTCCCCAGCCGGCTGGAGAAATAATTGACATTGTCCTTGAAGACAGCCGGCCAGATAGAACCGTCAAGATTGGAACGGTTGCATTTGAAAGTTTGGGATCAGATTTGCTCCTTTTGCTGAAGGAGTTCAAAGATGTGTTTGCCTTTGAAGTAGAAGAGATGCCGGGTGTAAGTCCGGATCTCGCTGTTCATAAACTCGCTGTGGATCCTAAGAAGAAGCCGGTCAGGCAAAAGAAAAGGAACCATGGCGAGGAAAGGTCCCAGGCGGCAGCAATCGAGGTCAAGAAACTCTTAGATGCTGGGTTCATCCGGCAATGTTACTACCCGGATTGGGTAGCCAATGTCGTCGTTGTGAAAAAGCCGAATGGAACCTAGCGGATGTGTGTAGATTACACGGACTTGAACAGAGCTTGTCCAAAAGATAGCTACCCGCTTCCAAAGATAGATCATTTAGTAGACTCTACAGCCGGCCATGCCCTGATGAGTTTCATGGATGCCTACTCCGGCTTCCATCAGATACCCTTGTGGAAGAAAGACCAAGAGAAGACGACTTTCGTCACAGATCAAGGGTTATACTGCTACACGGTGATGCTGTTTGGGTTGAAGAATGCGCCTGCTACTTTCCAACGAATGATGAACTCGGTCTTTTATGATCAGATTGGAAGGAACGTGGAGGCGTACATCGATGACATGATAGTCAAGTCAAAGCTACAGGAGGATCATCTAGCCGACCTCCGAGAAACCTTCACCACCCTCAGGCGGCATAAAGTCATGTTGAACCCGAAAAAATGCGTCTTTGGAGTTGAGTTTGGGAAGTTTCTCGGATTTTTGATTGATCAGAGAGGCATAGAGGCCAATCTGGACAAAGTGCAGGCGGTGATTGACATGCAGTCACCTCGTACCGTCAGAGAGGCTCAAAAGCTTACCGGTTGCCTGGCGGCATTGGGAAGATTCCTCAGCCGGTCAGGTGACAAGTGCCTGTATTTCTTTCAAGCAATCAAAAAGAGGTCAAGGTTTGAATGGGGTGAAGAGGCTGAGGCGACATTTCAAAGGCTGAAACAACACTTGCATTCTTTGCCAAGATTAGTGAGTCCCCTACCCCAAGAGGCTCTCTACATGTACTTGGCCGTCTCTGATCATTCCTTGAGTGCCGTCCTCCTTGCTGAGAGAGACGGCAACCAGCTCCCGGTCTACTTTATAAGCCATGTCCTCCGGAATGCTGAACTTCAATATCCCATGATTGAAAAATTTGGTCTGGCATTGTTCAATGCAGTCAAGCGGTTGAAACCGTATTTCCTGGCTCATCCGGTGACCGTCTACACTGACCAGCCGCTCAAAAGGCCTATGACCACTTTAGAGTCATCCGGAAGAATGATTAAATGGGCTGTGGAGATTCAAAGTCTAGAAATCACTTTCGAACCCAGGCGGGCAGTGAAGGGTCAGGCGTTTGCCGACTTCATTGTTGAAATGACAAGGCCGATACAGCCGGATAAAACTGATCAAGTATAGAAGGTGTATGTAGACGGGAGTTCTACGTTAAATGGTTGTGGGGCAGGCTTAATTTTTCATTCTCCAGAGGGGGACCAATACGAGAATGCTCTACGATTCAAATTTCAAGCTTCGAATAATGAAGCTGAATACGAGGCCCTGCTAGCCGGTATCCGCATGTGTAAGGCAGCCGGGGCAAGGAAAGTTGACGCCTGCTCAGATTCTCAACTCATCGTTAGCTAGTACAATGGTGACTATGAGGCCACCCATCCGGTGATGGTTAAGTATCTTCAGGCGGTCAAAGAAGAGGCTGGGGCGTTTGATGAATTCAATCTAAGTCAAGTACCCAGGTCTGAGAATAATCAGGCGGATTCACTATCCAAACTCGCATCATCCGCCACATGTGATACGCCTAGGTCAGTCTTTTGGGAAGTCATGGAAAAGAAAAGCATTGAAAATGACCCCATTGGAGTTCTAGATCGAAGCTCCACTTGGATGGACCCCATCCGGGAATACCTGATAGACGGCACCCTACCGGGTGTCTCGTCAGAGGCGGCTGCCCTTAAAAGACGAGCATTAAGCTTCGTAATGCACAAGGGTGAACTCTTCCGGAAGGGTTACCTGCAGCCGCTATTCAAATGTGTTACCCCAGAAAGGGGAAAGGAAATACTGGAAGATCTGCACGCTGGCTTCTGTGGATCGCACGTTGGCGGGAACACCCTCGCCAAAAGAGCCAGGCAGCAAGGATACTTTTGGCCTACCCTTGAGGCGGATGCATTAGATCTGGTAAAAAGATGTGACAAGTGCCAAAAGTTTGGCCGGCTGATCAGACAGCCGGCCACTGATTTAACAGCTATTCATAGCCCAATTCCCTTTGCCAAATGGGGCATGGATAATTTGGGGCCATACACTCCTGCCCTAGGCGGAAAAAGATACAGTTTGGTGGCTGTTGATTACTTCACCAAGTGGGTAGAGGCCGAGGCAGTAAAGGGCATCAAAACTAAGGATGTCATCTCCTTCATCTGGAAAAATGTCATCACCCGGTTCGGTGTACCAATGTCAATGGTCTTTGACAATGGCCCTCAGTTCGAAACGCCTGTCCTGAAGACTTGGCTACAAGATCAAGGGATTTCCCATTACTTTGCATCCGTTGGCCGTCCTCAAGCAAACGGTCAAGTTGAAGCTTTTAACAAGCTCATCTCAGGCGGCATAAAGAAAAAGATTGAAAAGGCAGGCGGTCTTTGGGCAGAAGAGTTGACTCACATTCTTTGGTCTATCAGAACTACTGAGAAGGGGTCAACCGGAGAAAATCCATTTCTTATGGCATATGGCACAGAGGCGGTGCTTCCTATTGAATTATATGAGCCAACACTTCGAATCATGTTATATGATGAAGAGGCAAATTGGGAAGCCATGCGCCTGGCTCTGGATACTCTTCCTGAAAGAAGGGGCAACGCCGCCTTGCGCCATGAAATCTACCGTCTGCGAATGACAAGAGCCTACAACAAAAGGGTGCGTAAACGTCCCCTCAAAGTTGGAGATTTTGTTTTACGAAAGCTTGAAGCAACCGGTAGGGAAAACGAACAAGGGAAACTGACCCCAAACTGGGAAGGACCCTACCGGATTTTTGAAGAAGTTAGAAACGGCACGTACCGCCTGGAAACCCCAGATGGAATGCGGCTGCCTCGTACCTGGAATGTAGATAACTTGAAAAAGTACTACTTCTAAGGATTTTTGTAAATTTTTGTAAATAGTATTGAAATGTTAAAGCATATAATTTCCATTCATACAACTGTATTTGCACCTGTCTAGTGCAAGATCACAGATGGAAGAACACTTGTTAAAAACCACTGCTCCAAAAAGAGCAGTCAACCGGCAACACCTATCCGGATGAAATCGTTGAAGAGAACAGCTCCCTTCCGGGTGGTACATTGTTCTAGCGATCCAATAACTCAAACGACATTTTCTTAAAAGAAATTTACAGCCGTTAGAAATGATCCATTGCATCTAGGTTTCGCCCGGCAAGGACCCAAAAGTGGACCATCCGGCAAAATGAAATTCCTAGTGGGTTACTGCAACCGGGTATTATCTAAAAGCCATCTAAACGGTTTTTCAACCCATCCGCCATTTTATTGTACCAGCCGGGGTAAGGTTAGATCTACCACTGATCACCCATCCGGCTGCCATGAAACGGCTGCCTGTTTACCGTTGGAGTAAACAGTTGGCCATTTCAGGGGCATTTTATTGTACCAGCCGGGTCAAGGTTAGATCAATCACTGACCACCCATCCGGCTGCAAATGAAACGACTGCCTGTTTACCAGCCGGGGCAGGAGTAGATCATTCAATGATCACCCATCCGGCTGCCAATGAAACGGCTGCCTGTTTACCGTTGGAGTAAACAGTTAGCCATTTCAGGGGCATAACATGGTATCTTTACTTCATCCGGCATATATAGAACGGCTGATCATGTTAACCGGGTGAGTAGTAAACAATGTAAAAAATTGTAAAAATGCATAAATAAAAAACCAAAACATAATGCAAATAGTAGAATAGCAAAACCGACTGCGTCGGTTAAATAGATTAAATATTTATATGGAAATGTTAACCGGACCCCCGTCCGGGAAAGATACATACAAAGATACTCGGCTCGCAGGCCGGAAAAGAAGATAGAAAAATTGTTTATGGTTGTTGTTGAAGTTGTTGTTGTTGAGCTTGTTGCTGTTGAAGCTCCGGCTGCTGGACTGCATCGACTGGAACTTCGGTCGACTGCTCCACCACTTGCTGATCCTCCGCCTGAGCATCTTGATTATCCCCATCCGGCTGAGTCACGTTGTTGCGCTCAACCCACTCGTCGAAAGAGGGAGGGGGGTCAGTTCCGAGCACCTTAGCCTCGTAAACTTCAGAGGCATACTGGTATCGAAGATTCCATTATTCGTACTCGAAATCCGGGTGGATCAGGCTCCAAGCGAGCTTCATTCGTTCTTCGCAGTCGGCCTCATTTTCAGCAATTAGGCGGAGTTGTTCCTGTTCCAGCTCTTTCTTATCAGCCGCCTGATTGTTGGCAAGTTCAGCTACCAGCCGGCTGTTGTCCTTTAGGAGATTGACATTTTCCTTATCAGCATTCTCCCGGGCTTTAAGGTCAGTTTGAAGATTTTTGACCTGGAGCTCAAGCTCATCAACTCTCTTCAAGGCCGCCTCCCCAGCCGCAGCCGCCTTCTTCAGCAGTTCCTCCTGTTGCAACTTCCGTTGTTCAGTTTCCAAGTCATATGAAATGGCATTGAATTGGCAAACGTCAATAAGCTCAGATGCGCGCTTCTGAGCGTCTCTTACCTCCTCCTGCTTCTTGCGAAGAGGGACGCTAAGCCCATCAACGCTCAGCAGCGTCTGCAATATCAGCCGGCAAAAGTGTTAGGAAAGATCAAAAACAAAATACTTGCATCCGGTAAAAAAGGGTATTGCTTAAACATAGGCCATCCGGTTTATGTACCTCAGGAAGGAGAGAAGTAATCCGGTCAAGATTGACCCTGTGCACAGCCGACACAGCTTCTCTCTCAGACCGAGTGATGGTCTTGACCATCCTCTTAGCATACTGCTGGTAGTTTGGACGGCAGGAGGTTGTATCTGCAAGCATAGAATCATCTATAAGGTAGTGGGCATATGCCTCGCCAATATCCAGGCGGTGTCCGGAAAAATCCCTGGATTGGCTTGCTTGGGTTTTTCCCCTCATATGCCCAAGCGGCCAAGGGAAATCAAAGACAGAAGTGTTACCTTTCTCGGACTGTGGGGTCAAAGCCCCCCCCCAGCCGCTAATGAACCGGAGCCCGTCAGAGTACGAGCATCCGATCTTGCTGACTCCACCACCATTTCAAAGTGGGGAGAAAATTGCAGGCTCTTCCCTGCAGTTGTCGGCCTGTCCTTGTCAGGCGTCTTCTCTTTCTGCCCAGCAGCCGGGGCAGGAGCCTCCACCCTAGGCACTTTGGCGGCAGGCTTGGGAATAATCCCAGCCGGTCTTTTTTGCATACTCGCTACAGAAAGAGGTATGACTTGGCTCCCAGCCTGAAAACAGTCAAAATAGGATGCATCCGGTAAAAACCTTTGCAACAAGGTAAAAGGTGCATCCGGCAAAAATAAAGGGGTACAGAGATGGTTCAGAAAAGGCTACCCCGGCATTTTTGGCGGCCATCGCCGCCTTCTTCTCCTCTAGCTGCTTCTTCCTCAAGAGGATGGCAGAGGTAGCCGGAGTCTTCTCTGGCGGCACCATTCTTTTTGCTTCTTCTGCAAAACAAGAAAAGTAAACATGGTTAGAGATCAAACAAAGCATACCCATCCGGGAAAGACTTGATCAAATCAGTAAACCTACCCTTGCTGAACATAATGCTCAAGTTACAAAGGGACAAAAAAGCCTCATCCTTAAACCAATCCGGATGGGGCACCCAAAATTGGGAAACTATGATCTCACCCCCGTCATCTAGTGGGGAGGTTGTCTTCAGAAAGAGACCTTTCTGCATTATTTGGTCCCATGCCTCTCCCGGTACTCTAGGGAGAGCGCATTTCCTTCCTATTAAGGCCGGGTGCTTATTGTATCTACGCAGCCGGCGGTTAAGTTGGGGGGAGGGGGAAGAGACTACATAAAATTTACTCTTCCAATTACTCCACTTGGACGGCTTGTCCAAGGTCATCATGTACTCAGGAAGCGTGGTGAGAGTGTACCACGCATTCCACCCACCCGGCGCTCTGCTTAAATAATGCATGTGCGCAAATGCCTGCCAGCTTGGCTTGACACCCTGCAGTTCGCAGGCGGCAATATATCCAAGAATGTTGACCCATGAATTAGGGGTCAACTGCCATACACCTAAGTCATACCCCTTTAGTATGGCTTTTATGCAGTGATGGAGGGGGAACCGGAGGCCGGCTGTAAACGCCGCCTCATAGCAGCCGAAGAAGTTGTCGGCATGGTCAACGTCGTCGGTCCAAACGACGCTTGCCTCTACAGGCGGGACGACCACTTCCCATCCCTCTCCAACCGGCTTTTTCTGTAAAAAAGCATGGAGTGTGGCGTTCAAAGTGACCACATCCCTGGCGGCCATGGTCATATCAGTCGGGTCGCCCTTAGCCGGCCATTTGTAGGCCTCTTCTTCAATGGGAGCCGCCTCTTCAGAAGACTCTTCATCATGGCCAGGACCGGACTCCCCATTATCAGCTGTCCCTTCCCCGGATATTTCACCAGATCCCTCTCCGACTCCCCCTCCGGATTCTTCACCAGATCCCTCTCCGGACACCTCTCCGGATTCCTCAGCGTTGGAACCAGAGCTATCCAAGATACTGTCACCCGGTGTGCTTGGTACACTTGGAGAATTTTGTGGAACCTCTTCATTAAGACCCATCTCAGCCGGTTCCTCGACTTGTTCTTGGTTTATAGGATCAGCCGAATCAACGGCTGGGTCGTCGGACTGGTAGTCGGGGTCGATTGCCGTCACTCTGATCCGAGCCATTCTATCCTGCACATGAACAGAGACGGTCGGATTCGATGTAGGTGAAGGTTGTTCCAAGCACCCCCAGACGGCAATCCCAGTCCTAGAATCAGCCGTTCCTGTTGACCGGCTGACCACAGTCGTAGGCTGTGCCGTGTGTGCATTGGTGGATTCCATATCCTAATGCTATGCAACCGGAAATAAAAGAAAGTGGCAAGTAAAGGATGCAGGCGGTACCTTTGAAGATTGAGATTTGTTGAGATGATGGCTTGAAACCTCCACAGGCGGAAGTCTCCGAATGTGTTTGAAGCTGAAATAAAGAAAAATAGATCAGATATATTTATGGAATCATTCAAAAGCCCCCCATACGGTTAGATGCCGGATGGGGACAATTTGAATGTTGTTTGAGAAAAAGCTAAAGGCCGCCCAAACGACCCCCATACGGTAAAATATCGGATGGGGAATACTTGTATGTTTGATAAAAAGCAAAGGCTGCTCAAACAACCCCCATGCGGTTAGATGCCGGATGGGGGCTATTTGAATGATGTTTGAGAAAAAGCCAAGGCTGCTCAAACAACTCCCATACGGTTAAATGCCGGATGGGGGTTATTTGAATGATGTTTGAGAAAAAGCCAAGGCTGCTCAAACAACCTCCATACGGTTAGATGCCGGATGGGGGCTATTTGAATGATGTTTGAGAAAAAGCCAAGGCTGCTCAAACAAACTCCCATACGGTTAGATGCCGGATGGGGGTTATTTAAATGATGTTTGAGAAAAAGCCAAGGCTGCTCAAACAACCCCCATACGGTTAGATATCGGATGGGGGCTATTTGAATGTTGATTGAGAAAGCAAATGCTGCTCAAATAACCCCCATGCGGTAAGATGCCGGATGGGGGTGCATTGAACGCATCTTAAAATTTTTCTTTGAAAAATCCAAAGAGACAAGGATGATGACCCAACCGGCTTCAAAACCGGTTGGGGTTTTTGAAATCGTTTCTTGATAAAAACTTAGAAGTACCCCAGGCGGTGTTAAAGGATAAGTCTATTGGAGGAAGGTTCAAACACCCCCCAGACGGTGTTAAGCCGGATGGGGGTGTTTAGAATGCATAATGATTAAAAGTTGAAAACCCCTCAGACGGGGCTATGCCGGCTGAGGGAGAAGATTCAACAAATGGGATATGGGTTAAAGGCCCCCCAGGTGGCATGCAACCCGGATGGGGTGAATTCTTCGAAATCGTCAAAAGGAAAAAAAAAAAAAAAAAGAGGCAGCCGGTACCTTAGAGACTGAAGAAAGGGCACCCAACCGGTCGCCGGATGTGCTTAATTTGAAAGTGCCGGATGCAGGAAAACTAAGGAAATAATGCAGCCGGTATCAGAGCTCTCTCAGTAATTTTTTTGAAAAATATGCAAAGTGTGGAGGAGAGAGAGGGTGCCATGTATTTATAGAGAAGGAGCAGAAGGCGAAACGATGCCTTCTGCCCTAAAAACTTAAAATTCGAAAAAAGGAGGGAAGAAGACGAACCGTCTCCTCCCATGCGTCTAGCCCCTGTCACAGGTGACACGTGGACATTCCACGTCACACCTGTGAGGGGCAGATGTTTAGGGTAAAAATACCCTAAGACACGTGGCCCAATAAAGGCATGCCACGTGTCAAGCTTGCAACGGTCAGCAAAGGCCCAATCCCTTTGCGACACGTGTCATTGTACCCTAATTGAGGTACAACTCTCCCCTACTATAAATAGTAAGGGCAGACCTCATTAATGGGAATCGAATCATTTTCCCACAAACCAACAAAACACAAATCCCCTTGCAAACGCTCTCAAATCGAGAAGCATTTATTGTCTTATTTCCTCATTTAGAAAGAGACTAACTTAATCTTCGGAGGCGGAACACCCCAGCCCCAGCCGGAGTATTCCGTTATTTGTGCAGGTACAGGCGAAGGAAGGAGCATACTAGGAAATTGTAACTCTCCCGTAGGACACATAAAAAACCCCCAAACATACCCCAAAATCTGATTTTTGATCTCTTGTGTGGGAAAATTTTGGGGTATTGAGAGGTATTTATAGAGTAGGGAATAAAGACTAGGGTTGGGCTTAAAAAAATAGGCTTTAGTTATGAAATATTTGACCCACAAAGGTTCAAATAAAAGAATTGGGCTTACTTAAATGAAATGGGTTGGTCCACAAGGAGTATGTAAGGATTGTTTACATACTATTATTTAAACGAGCTCAAACGATTAATAAACGTTTAGCCCAAAATAAATTATACTTTTATAAAACTCAATAATTTAAATACTTTAGCCCTTTAAATATTTAATTAAAATACTTGAGTACTTTAAAAATATATTTTATAATTAATTAAATAATTTATAAATACATAAAAAATACGGGGTATTACAATAAAACTTCATCCTCTATCGATGTTTTTGCAACGTCCACACAATATAATAATACAACACAATATAATGATCCTCGGAAAAGATGGACAAAAGAAAGAAAATTCACGCAATTCCCTGTAAGTTATAATGAATTATTAGAAAAACTAAACGAAAAAGGACTGCTGTCACCAACAGGGCCAACAACTCCTGCCCCTATAGAAAGAAGATATCCTCAATGGGATGGAAATGCTTATTGCACTTACCATAAGGGTGTTAGGCATAATACTGAATGTTGCTTTGTTTTGAAACATAAGATTTAAGATCTAGTAGACGATGGGAAAATTCCCACGCCTAAACCCAATAATAATGTTTCCCCATTGGGAATATTTTATATTGATGAGGACCATGTGAGGAGCGATTGTTCAATCTCTTGGATTACATCACTCCCATAGGGAAACCTCTAACCACAACACTCATAGGGGCAACTAATTAAGTGTGTGGTCTATGGGATGACGACTTCAAAGACTTATATGTCACCAAATATGCCGCCGTCCCACCTCCACCTTATCTCCAAGTCGAAACAAGTGGAGCGCTTGATTGGGATCATTTTTTGGGAAAATCACAAGATTTGTCTAACCTTTCCCTAGATGAACAAATGCATAAATCATAACTCATGGAACACTTAGAAATGGAGGCACATTCAATGCCCTTAAATTGGTTTACGAGTACCAAGACTAGTCCAAACGAGATTGATCCCTTAACTCGTTCTGGGAGAGTTTATCAAAGACAACCAAATGGACCTTTGACTGATCAAAGTCAAACTCAAAATACAATACCACCTCCACCTTCGTCAATCTAAGGCGAATGTTAGCATTTGGGAACTCCTAAGTACCTATAAGGAACATAGGAATTCTCTAATGAATGCTCTTACTGCTTTATCTGTAAGTACGGACACAACTCCCCAGGATCTCGTTAGCTTGCTTACTAGCGAGAAATCCGACAAATCAATCATCTTTACTAGTGATATTTGCCATCAAAAGACACTACTCACAATAATGCACTATATCTAACTGTGAGGTGCAAGGGATACAACATCCCTCTTACTTTAGTCGACAATGGGTCTGCTGCCAATGTGTGCCCATTACGAACCGCAAAATATTTAGGCCTAGACCCAGAAAAAGATTTTCATACGACAACACAAAGCATTAGGGCCTACGACAATTCAAGGAAATCGGTGTGTGGAACTGTTAAGCTACCAGTCACCACAGGCCCTATACAAAAGATGGTTGAATTTCAAGTCATGGACATAAAACCTACATTTAACCTTCTTTTTGGACGTCCTTGGATACATGAACTTGAGGCAATACCATCCTCGTTCCATCAAATGATTAGGTTGAACTATCAAGGTCTTCCTATGACTATACATGCTTCTCCCCTCAAAGTCACAATAAACGATCAATCTCTTCTAGAGATGAATCATGACAATGATGAAGAAGCCATGTTGGGATTTTTCGCGGAGGCTATCTGCACACTAGAAATGGATGAAAAGCTTGAAGAACCTTTCAAACTTGATCCATATTCCACCCAAATAGTAAACAATATCTTGTTTAAGAGTAGTTACTTTCCTGGGATGCTTTTGGGAATAGGAATGAAGAAATTCGTCTTACTTCCTATCCCAAAGAAAAGTTTCTCCTTTGGATTGGGATATGAACCAACCAAAGAAGAACTTAAGTCTCACGATGCTAAAATAAAGGCATAGGAATAACAGCAAGAAAGGGATAATTTCCTTGCTTCCATCTTACAATCAGACCCTTAATGGACAATTCATTAGGGAGGGGGAAAATTACCCGTGCTATGACTTTCCAGAACCACTAGCTCTTGAAGGTATTAAGAAGCCTGGATCCGAGATCTTTCACGATTGCTACTTCTTGAATGATGACTTAAAAATATCGTTCAATCAAAGCACCCAACCCTAAGGTGCTATGATAGGAAAGCCTTTGACTTGCTATTTGGACTAAAGCGAAACCATGTTGCTGCTATAACTAATCAAAACGCAATCCAAGATGAAGCTTTTGACCCAACCTCATTGATCACCCCTTCCAATAACACTTTCGAGCATGGATGGAGAAAGACTTTTAAGTGTTCTACCCACAAGGGTGACAAGCTAGAAATCACCACAGGCGAAGGAAAAATGTTTGAAGAATCTGACGATGAGTCTAGTTTAGTTTTTAAGGAAGCTGAGAATTTAGGCCTTGTGGCCATTACTAAGTCTTTATTTCTAGTTCTAAGGACGAGGATCCCATAAAGGATTCCTCTCTTGATGTACTTTATTTTTCTTTCAATAATATGAGCTCTATTTCCAAGTATATGCCTTCTCTCAAATCTTTTGAATGCTATAATAATCAATCTAACGAAAATAATAACATTAATAAATTGATTGAATTAATGGATGAATGAGAACAAAAGTATCCTATGATCGAAGAAACTAAAACAGTCAATATAGGAATAAAAGAAAACAAGAAAGAATTCAAAATTGGCTTAACTATAAATCCGGAAGAGCGATCGACTCTCATATCGACGCTCAAAGAATTCGAAGACGTGTTTGCTTAGTCATTCAAGGACATGCCTGGAATAGATAGGGAA